CCATTATTGAATGAGGATATCAAATTTCCAGTCAAGAAAGAGAGTAAAAGGAGAGTTTGGTGATCTCTTGGACAAATCACCCTCTAGGACGCCAAGATAGGTTCGGTTAGGAAGGGGAGGAACAAGGGAAAACAGGAGCTTTTCCTCGTGGACCGACCCGTGACGCTATCCTATTCGCGGGCCCATAACACACTCCTTGCCCATTTAATGTCAAAATCTGCTCTTTTGGTTTCCTGTAGCAGCACCACATCTGGATCTATTTTCTTGATGGCTTCTTTTATCACTGCTCTCTTTCTTGGACTCCCCAATCCCCTCATATTCCAGCTAATGATCCGCATAATTATTTGTTGACCACCCCTTGCACCTATTACCCTCACTTCTTCCCTTTCCTTCTTTCCCGTACAACACCGAAGCTTTTGTCTCCCTCCACATCCTTCACTAGTCTTTCAGCCTCACTTCTTTTTCTCCTTTTACTCTTGACTTCTCTGTTTTTCTGTATGAATCCTTTCAGATTGTTTGGATCTTTCAGTTTACATCCCAACTTTTGTACAAATACTGCAATCCAGAGGAGAGAACGATTCATGACACAGTTGAAGCCTTGAAACAGTGGATCTCCTCTCTAGATCAATTCAAGGAATATGCATTTTCTTTTTCTTTTTTGGCTGTAATTTTTGTTTTTGAAAATACTTGATACTTGTGGATTTGTAGAAAGTGAATCTCAAGACATGTATTTTTGCTATACTGATTAATAGAAATTTACTTCACCTTTTTTCTGGAAAAAAACGATCTTCAACATGTATGGCATTCTTCAAAGAAAGAGGAAATCATTAAATTTACCCTCTAAAAGACTTTTGGATTTTCACTTTGTAAACTATAATTCTGCAAATTTAAATTCAGCATAGTGCACCAGTTAAATTCATTGAATATCCAAATTCAAGCTAATCTTGTCTAAAGAACTTGAAATAGAAATAACATTAGTATGGAGGTGCATGTTCAGTATAGGGGCCTATAATTTCAAGTATATGATTTTCAGATCATATGCTAATATATTATATGCCTGTTCTCTATATTCATAGTGTGGTAATATTTGCAATGCTAGACCAAAAGAATTTGTAATTTGCTATTAACTTTGGTTTTGACGTTTTGTAACTTAGCCTTGGCTAACCAACCATTACATTGTCAATCATTTCGTACGAGTCCCCAATACATCTGATTCTAAATACCCCAGACTCAGCTAATCCATCAGCTAGGCAGTTGGCTGACCTTGGAGTCCATCTATATTGGACTCCAATCTCTAATGACTATCTTGATATTTCCCATTCATATGCCTATATTTCCAAGAATCTGCTCTGTTGTTCTTAGCCTATGACATTATAACCTTTAAATCTTACATTGAGAGATTTAGCCATTTTGCTCTAATAGTCCCCAACCCCCATTGGACCTGAATAGATTGCTTGAATAAGTCCTCCCCAATTTCTGAAAACACTACCTAGGCTGCATCCTTCAATCAGCCAGCTTCTGCATATCATCCATTGTGAGCTGTTGAAAAGTGTCCTAAGTTTCTGCTAATGCCTGATTTTCATCAAAATATTTTCCATTAAGCTTTTCTGTTCTTCCATTTATCTTTAAATATTCTTGATTTTCTTTCCTCCCAAATGCACCAAAGAGTGGCAGCTCTAAAATGCTCCTAGACCATTATGTTAAAAATTGCCATGAAGAATGAGTTTCGTGCAAGATACTGTAAGTTATATTGTTGGCTCTCAATCTTGACAAAGCTGCTTTGTTATATGTAGATACGCACTAAATGTTGAAATATACCTGAAGATGCATAGATCTGATTTTGCGGAGAAACAGTTAAGGATCATGCAACAGATTGATGAGGACCATACTCTGACCCAACTTGCAAGTGCATGGTTAAACTTGGCAGTGGTAAATTACTCTTGATATTTGTGTTCCTTGCAGTGATTTAAAAGCCACACCTGATGTGCCTTGCCTTGCCCCCAGGCGCAGAACTTTCAAAAGGCACGTGCCTGGTGCGCTTTGTGTTGCAGCCCAGGTGCATGCCTTTTGAAAATTTGTGCCTTTTTGATATTTTTTCTGTTTTTTTATGCCAAGTGGCAATATGGACTTGTTTAGGCTTGCCTGGAGGGGCTTGGTACAAAGGCAGTTCCTAGAATTAGGAATGCATAATGTTTAACATCACATTAGCTATTTGAAGTAATGCAATTGGGAAAAGAATAAAGAGATTGAGAGTTTTACACGCTTGAATATGTTTTATTGTTATGCTTGATTTTATTTTTAAATTTTCATTTTAAATATGTTTTACATGTTATGTTTATGTATCTTAATTTGAGTTAATAGGTTTTTTAAACATTTATTTTAAAATTAATGTTTATATATTTAATTAGTATTATGTTTAATATTTTTTTATTTTTTTGCTTTTATTTGAAAAATTTTGGCTTTTTATTTGAATTTTTGGCAATTAGTTTTGCATTTTTGCACCTTGCTTCGAAAAGGTGCATGCCTCACCTTGCGACCTGCACATTGGACACAAAATGCCCTTGTGCTTTTTTTGCGCCTTGCACTTTTTAAACACTGGTTTCTTGGAAATGAGAAACTGGCCTCTTCTTGATCACATATTTTTCCATGGTATCAGGGTGGTTCGAAGATACAGGAAGCATATCTCATCTTCCAAGATTTCTCTGAGAAGTTTCCAATGACTGGGCTGATCTTGAATGGGAAGGCTGTTTGTTGCATGCACATGGGACGTTTTGATGAAGCTGAAACCTTGTTGCTTGAAGCACTAAACAAGGCAAGTTTTTCATATTCTTTAAATTTTCTTCTGTGATTATTCTAGATGATTCCTCTACTCTCCCGAAGCTAAAAGATGATTGCCTTGATTCTTTTTTATTCAGGATGCAAAGGATGCTGAAACTCTGGCCAATCTGATTGTATGCAGTCTGCACCTTGGAAAATCATCATCTCGTTACCTGAGGTAAATTGATTGAAAGACCACCTAGCAAGCTGTGGAGCTTCTATCTTTAGCTCTTGGTTGTGACATTCTTTGTTATTGTTGAATGACTGTTCTTGTTCCTGGCAACTTCCATATTATTACATATGAGCATCCTCCTCTGGCTTTTCCAGCCCAGGTGGGGTTGGCTAAATAAGCCCTTGTTCCTACACTCTGCTCTGTTGCTTTCCATATTTGCTATTAAAAGAATGAGTTGTTGAATCATTTTCACAATTACAATCCAGCTTCATTTTGGCTGAGTTATTCAATCTTCTCTCACAATTCAAATCCAGGTTCTCTCCTGTCTTCCCTTGTTGAATCAAGATTCTTTCTTGGTTGTCTAGCATTTTTCTCTGTAGAGCATTGTTGGATTTGTAACAAACCTAACCTTTTGTTTTCCATGGGTGATGTCCTCAATCTCTCCCTCCTTGTAGGTTACCCGACAAGAATGATATCAAATTGATCACTTGAGGAATCTTATCTCTATCTCCTAAATACCCGTTCAACCTCACTTGAGGAATCTTGTCTCTATCTCCTAAATACCCGTTCAACCTCACTTGAGGAATCTTATCTCTATCACCTAATTACCCATTCAACCTATTCATTTCGTAGTTGATTTATTATCTTAGTGTTTGGTAGATCTAGAACTTTTTCTTTTCTTTTTTTTTTGTTAATGACTGACTTTATTCTCATTTTTTCTGCAGCCAATTGAAGCTCTCACATCCTGACCATACGCTCGTCAAACGTATTTCAGCTGCCGAAGAAAGCTTTGACAGAGCTGTTCAAGCAAATGCTTGAGTCTTGTGGGCTTGTTAATACGCTGCAGAGTTGCATTATGCTTGCCCTATAGAGTATAGACATCTATCCCTCCCTCCCCTCTGTATTTTCTTTCTACTTATTTGTGTTGTCACAGTTGATAGCATTAGTAAGTTTTTCTCGTTTTTACTTTTCATCCTTTAATTGAAGTTGTAACTGCTCGACTGGTGGTTGATTTTTAAGTTAACAGCCTGATATATTCATTTATGTTTAAGAAAGTTCTGCAACATCAAATCTAAATGGGCGAGACAGAGATGCTTGCTTGTACGAAGCCCTCATTTAAGGATAAGAAACATTTTAATACTTTTTTTTCGGTGAATTAGAGCATTCATTAAAACCAAATAGAACCCTGTGCAAGATGAAGATGATAATCAGACAAGCTCACAAACCAACGGACACCAAATGAAAACGGGATTTGAGAAACCACAAACCACAGACCACGAAACCAAAACCCTGCATTGGGAATGCTAATACCTGTCGGCGAAACAGGATTAGAACTACAAACCGAGAAGATGGCACCTCATCAAACAAAACAGGATTAGAACTACAAACTGAAAACTGAGAGGCATTACAAATGAAATTCAAGAACATTCCAAAAATTCTCCCCCAGATCTGATTACTAATTTGAGCAAATTCTGGGAGCATCCAATTCCAGTCCACTAGTTCCCCACCATAGCCACAAGTTTCAGTATTTTTAGATTTATCTTCAAAAATGTTCCTTTCGTTCTAGAGGACACAACAAACAACAAAAGGTATGCAACTCCATAATATCTTTGCTTTGTTGCTCATTCCCATTATTGGCTAGGCTGAGAAAAGTTCTGCTGCTTATTGACCTATTTTCTGCTACCTCCGATTCTTATACCCCAACTTCAATCCCCGTTCACTTCCTTCAAGCAGACTGCAATTAAGAACTTTGACAAATGAAATTCAAGAACATTCCAAAAATTCTCCCCCAGATCTGATTACTAATTTGAGCAAATTCTGGGAGCACCCAATTCCAGTCCACTAGTTCCCCATCATATCCACAAGTTTCAGTATTTTTAGATTTATCTTCAAAAACGTTCCTTTCGTTCTAGGGGACACAACAAACAACAAAAAGTATGCAACTCCATAACATCTTTGCTTTGTTGCTCATTCCCATTATTGGGTAGGCTGAGAAAAGTTCTGCTGCTTATTGACTTATTTTCTGCTACCTCCGATTCTTATACCCCAGCTTCAATCCCCGTTCGCTTCCTTCAAGCAGACTGAAATTAAGAACTTTCCAACTTTTTCACAAATCTTTCCGAGCACCCTTGGATCCCAAAAGTGACTAAACCCCCAGACAACCCTTCAGCATTCAACTCCAGCCATTCCCCAAATCTCTTCCTTCGAACCAACATCAAAAGATTCCAGCTTAGTTTCTTGTATCAGGATTTGTCACTGGTTACTGACTTCTAATTAAATTACTCACTACTGTTTTCCTGTTTCTCTCCCTCAAGTCTTAACATTCCAGATTAACACCCTCATCCTCCCCTCTTCTCAAACTCCTTCCAACAATTTGAGTTTTAATCCTTCACAAATCCTCACCCAACATCTCCTCCTCACCCCCTATTCGTCATGCTCTCTATCATCCCCTCTCTTATTGATGGTGCACGATCTGGTTGTTCCTAGATGGATGGCAGTTCGAACATCGGTCTGCTTAGATGGCCTGTCGAACTGCAAGAAAGCACAATCAGAGAACCCGGGGTGGCTTACCTAGTGTGGATACTCTGATGCTTAAGTCAGCGATGTGGAGATTGTGAGCTGAAGGATTTAGTAAGCTAGAGAGCTAGTGCGCAAGTAATCGCACGTACCTTGTAGCATTGGGATTGAAGCCGTTATATAGGCGAGCTACTGTAGGTCTTACGAAACACCTCTGAGATCCCCAGCTCATGCTACCAGGAGTCCGTTCCGCACTCGGAGGTGGACTTCGTGTGAGCTGATAAGGCTTATTGAGTCCGTCCAATCCAGGTGGGATAAGGATAAGGCTTGCGGACGTGCCGCGTGATCCCGGAGAGGTCAGATACAGTTGGCTAGCTTCTAGAAGTTGACTATGTGTCACCTCGGTAGGTCGGGCCATCACAAGCTACTCGCACCTCGGTCTTGACCGAGGTATCCGAGCTGAGTTGGCTTGCTGAGGAGGCCGGAAATGCTGAGTTGTCATCCATGTCATCAGGTCGATCCACGTATCCACATGCTAACAGGTCGGGCCAAACTACCCCTCATCACATATATTTTTCCTCCCTCCTTTCTTTCTCAAACTGTTCGAAGGCTTTTCTCGCAAAGTCTTACCCTCCCCACAAGAACAAATCCAAGGACTTGCCCACTGTCACCTTCTCTACTAGCCTACTAATTGACACTTCTACATCCTCTATTGTCATCAACCCCCTTGATCCTTTCTCCTACTCTTCTCCTCTTCCACCCTCCCCCTCTGTTTTTTTTTTCCCGAAATTACCTCCTAGTTCATTGCTTCAGCCTCTTTCCCATCATTAGGAGCCATATAAGTTCCAATCACCATTTTCTTCCTATTGTATACTTTTTCTGGCTTGTCTCCCTTATCGATGTCAATTGAAGAGTTTCTCTTCCTTCCACCACCTTTTTCCCCTTCCAACTGAAACTCCCTCAAAGTTAGTTCATTAGAAGCAGTGGTGGAGCCAGGAATTTTCCTTTGGGGGTGGGGAGTTAAACAAGAAAATGAAATAGGGAGCATAAGAGGTAGGGTTTTAAGAGAAATGGGGCGGGAAGGTTTGGATCTATCATGGATTTTTTAAAGATATATATATATATAGAGCGAGAGAGAGAGAGAGAGAGAGAGAGAGAGAGTAATCCTTAACATTTCAGTTCAAGTTGGAAGCG